TAAAGCAGGGCTGTGCATAACACACAACACATGGTTCCCTTCCCCAGGGCAGCCCTTAGCTCAGAAATACATATTTTTTTTCACCTCTGTGGATTATTTTTAGCATTTCTCTCCTTCCCTTTGTTCAGCCTCCATTAAATGTTATTTTCAGCACAATTTCCAGTATCTCTGCTCCATTTCTCAGGATACTGACACTGCTTCATCCCAGCCCCCAAAATAACACAAAAACCAACCCATGACAACAAATATTACAACAAAACCTGTGCCAAGAGATGCTACACAGAGAACAACCATCAGTGCTGGGAGTGGAGCTGAGTGTCCCAAGGAACCTCACCTCTCATGGAATCTCTGTTTATTCAGGGATTAGAGCCAATTATTCATCACTGGAACAAAACAGCCCCAACAACCTCCCCTGCTGTGATCTGGGAATTCTGCATGGAGGTGGGGAAAGGACAAGGACCCAAAATGTGATGGCTCAAGGCACCAGGATCAGGATTTCATCTGTAGGGAAATGTGATTTACCCCCAGCTCCTCCTTGGCCCATGTGAAAGGAATGAGGAAACCCTCACACAGCCCTTCCTTTAAAAAGCACTTAAGAGATTTCAGCCTTCAGCTCCCAATTTGGGGGGGAAAAGAAAATAAAACCAACAACCCAACATTCCTGCGTGGTTCCTGTGGGAATGGCACTGAAAATTTGTGCTTTTGCTGTGGGTCATGGGCTAAAAAAAGGGTTTTGTGTGCTCTAAGAGGGAGCAATGCTCCCCAGGGAGGGGGAGGACAGGAATGTTTGGGGCATAAAGAGAATTCTCCCACTTTCTACCCTGCAGCCCCCTCGTGATCAGCATCTGCTGATGTTCCTAGAAAAAAAAATCCATGGTCTGATGAATAACAAATGAGCTGAAAACAGCTCCAGCTGGCAGGGAAAAAGGAATATTTTGCTTGACTGTCAAGTTTGAGCTGCTGCTCACTGAAGTGCTGCACTGGCCTGACCCAGGCAGGAGCTCAGCACTGCACTCCTGACCATGGAGAGCAGAAATTTGGGGATGAAATGAGGGAGAAAAGTTTCCCAAAACACAGATAACGAAGTGAATCCACACTGAACTAAGAATTTCTTCCCTGGGTGGGATATTTTTGTCACTGCTCTCTGGTGAGATGTATTAATAATCTATTTTTAATATTATTAATCCGTTTGTGGGTGGGACAATCCTCTTGAAATCTTGGGAGCAGCACAGATTAGTGGGAACACAAAGGAGAGATGGGTTCTTCACCTGACTCTGCTTTGCAAGAAAAAAAATCTCCCTCTCTTTTCTACCTCAGTCTCACACTGTCTGTAAAACAGAATTTTGGCCACACTTCCAAAGCAAAAGGTTCAGAAACCTTTTGGACTAAGTCTGAGGTGAGCTGATAAAATTAAAGTTGTACACCAGAAAAAGGTGGGAATATGTGAGGCCAGGGCTGCAGGAGCCCCAGGAGCAGAGGACCCACCCAAATCTCCTTTGGGAGCCCAGCTGGTCACAAACATGAGCAGGAAGTTCATTACCCACACTAATTAACAAATGATGATGATGATATTTGCCTCTAAACGAGCATTTCCCCCTGCTCTGGCATCTCCTGCCCTGCCTGCAGCAGCAGGAACAGATTCCCTGTTCTAGAAGCAGCAAGAACTCCAAAAACCAGCAAGAAATTCAAAAACCAGCAAAAAATTTAAAAAACAGCAAAAAATTCAAAAGCCAGCAAGGACTCCAAAAACCAGCAAGAAATTCAAAAATCAGCAAGAAATCCAAAAACCACCAAAAAATTAAAAAAACCAGCAAGAAATTAAAAAATAAAGCAAGTAATTAAAAAACCAGCAAGAAATAAAAAAAAAAAAACAGCAAGAAATTCAAAAACCACCAAGAACTCCAACAGCAAAAGGGTAGAAAAAGGACAAAAAGGGGAGGAAAATCTTCCCCTCAGGATCTCACAGCAGATTTGATGCAGGTTTATCAAGGAAGATAAAAAAGATAAACCAGAATTTTCTTCCCTCTTCCAAAGCCTGAGCTGAGCCTGGTGTGGGGGGCAGAATCTGCCAAAAACATTCTTGGCACAAAGGGGCACCTGCTGCCTTCTGCCACCTCTTGAATTAAAAAAAAAGATAAAATATAAAATTTGAGGGGAGCTCTTCCTTCCCTTCAAAATCTCTTTTCATTAGCTAGGAAAGAAAAAAAATTAATTTTTAAACAACTTCAGTTTTCTGCAACAACTGCACAGTTTGGAAGTCAAGGGCTGCACTTCCTGCATTTTTTTTTTTTTTTAGGGAAAATAATCACTTGGAAGCCTCTCTTCATTCAGCACCCAAAGAAACCAATTAAAAAAAAAAATTAAGCAGATTCTCCATGTTGTTTTTCCTGAATAAAAGGACACCTTTGGAATAAGAGATGAGAATTACACAACAGATATTGAACATTTTGTCACCTCTGTCCCCTCTCCCTGGTGCCAGCACAAAATAGAACACGTGGTGAAATATCCTCCAGAATTCTGGATTTATGGAGAGGCTCGTGAATAAATTATTCTTTAAAAAGCTTAGCATGGGGCTGGGGTAATAAATAGTCTGTAAAATTATTCCCTTGCACCAAAAAGCAGAGCAGCTCTTACAGGATAAATTGGCTCAGATTTGTACTTTTGAGCATTTTTGTTTTGCTGCCCCAGCAACGATTTTGGGGAAATTTCTGGATTATTCCAAAGGGATTCCCATCAGCGTGGACTTCTAGGAAATAATGAGAATCTGCAACTCTGATTTTTACACCAAAGCTGATCCTGAAATTCAGCTTTAGGTTATTTGGGTGTTAAGTATGAGCCTAACAAACAATTTAGGGGTTAAATCTGATCCATTTTCACAGATCAAAAAAGAAAAAATCTATTGAAACTGGAACAAGCTCAAGTGAATATTTTGATAAATATTATCTCTAGAAGTCAAGAATTGGTGAAATAATTTTCTCAATACACCACAGGGTTATAAATACTAAATATTCCCATAACCACCACACATTCCACACAGTTCAACATTTCTTTAAAAGATTTGCCAGCTCTTTGCTAACAAACAAAGGGAGCAGAGGAACACAAGGAATTTTGTTTTCTTTTGTTTGTTTAAATATTGCTTCCAATACGTAACAAACAGGAGGTTTGGGCATCATCACCCCCCCAGACAAACAGCCACACTTCCACCAAAATTTACTTTACAGGATGATTCAGTGGATAATAATTCTTCACTCAGCTGGAAAACAATACAGCTGGATCCATAGTGCAGCTACTGTTTGTACATTCATTTGTAATGCTCAGGAAAATATATATTTTTATTTTATTAAGTTTTGCTGCAAAACAAAGAAACAAAAATGAAATCCCTTTTTTTTTTTTTTTTATATACTTCTCCTCCCCCTCGTATCTTAATTATTACTATTTATTTTCTTTACACTTTGATTGGAGTATTTAACACCTGCCTTTGGCATTATGGATAGAAAGCTCAGGAGTCTCTGAACACACGGCTCTGCCAAAACAAAAAAAATAAAATAAAATAAAATATGGAAGAAGAAGAAGAAGAAGAAGAGTGTCACTTAGAGGTCAGAAATATTTGTTGTAACAGATTTTCTCCAATCAGTGTTCACTACTTTTTCTCTAAGGCACACGCTCTGTCTTTAGGACCTCCTGGCATCCAGGTTTGCTGCTGCTGAGCCCCAAGGGTTCAGGGGGGGCTCTTTGGGGACATCAGCTCCCTGTCCCTGACACGGGGTCCTGGATGCCTCTGGAGCAGCCCAGGGATCTGTTCTGCTGCTCTGCAAGGGTGGTCGCTTCGGTGGGGGTGGTGGATGAGCAGCACGGGGGAGGGAGGGGCTGAACCTTCCCAGAGGGGTCTCCTCCTCTTCCTCCTCCTCTTCCTCCTCCTCCTCCTCCTCCTGGCACATCCCTTCTGGGCTTCCCTGCTTTTTCCAGCGAGCCAAACGCCTCCAGGGAGGGGAAGCACAGGAGGAATGGGGCTGGGCGGGGAGTGAAGCATCCTCAAAGATCGGGATCCTCTCGGGAGGTGAAACAGCCCCAGACAAAGATCAGGATCCTCTCGGGAGGTGAAACAGCCCCAGACAAAGATCAGGATCCTCTCGGGAGGTGAAACAGCCCCAGATGAAGATCAGGATCCTCTCGGAGGGTGAAGCATCCCCAAAGATCAGGATCTTGTCGGGGAGTGAAGCACCCTCAAAGATCGGGATTCTCTCGGGGAGTGAAACATCCTCACACCAAGATGGGGATCCTCTCTTGGTTGAACACCCTCACACGAAGATGGGGATCCTCTTGGGGGGTGAAGCAGTCCCAGATGATGATGGGGATCCTCTCTAGGTGCACACCCTCACAAGAAGATGGAGATCCTCTCTTGGTTGAACACCCTCACAACAAAGATGGAGATCCTCTCTTGGTTGAACACCCTCACACAAAGATGGGGATCCTCTCTGGAAGCTGCACACCCTCACACGAAGATGGGGATCCTCTGTGGGGTTGAAGATGGGGATCCTCTCGGGGTGCAGACCCTCACACAAAGATGGGGATCCTCTGTGGGGATGTCACACGAAGATGGGGATCCTCTCTCGGATGGCCTGGCGGCAGATGGGGCACACGGTGAGGGCTGTGCTGCAGTCTGGGCACGAGCCGTGCCCGCACTGGAACACCAGCTTGATCTGGTCGTCGATGCAGATGGGGCAGGTGATCCTCTCCTCCATCTGCCGGTAGCGGCTCTGCAGCTCCTCCATCAGCTTCCTCTGCTCCGTGCACTCCGAGCTGGGGCTGCACTCCACCTCTGTGCTGTCTGTGGGCACAGCTGGGTCAGCCACGGCTCCTGCCCCTCCCCAGCAGCATCCCACTCACACTGCACGCTCTGCACTCAGGTTCAAACCAAAATCCTTCTTTACACACTGCCCTCTGCTTGCTTGCTCAGTGGTTTTTGTGTGTTTGGTTTGGTTTTTTTATTTTTTTTTTTTAATCCTGTCTGAGATTCCTGCCTCGGTGCTTTGGGATATGCTGTTCCCTTCGAGTGAAAATATTCCAAGTTGGTTGTGATGTTCTGTCCTGCTAATGCAGGATCCTTACAGGGCACTGTGCTCTCTCAACCTCCTGGTGACACCTGGGACTCCAATTTCTGGCTAAGAAATGTGTGTGTACTTTTCATGGTCACACAAGAAGAAACCATCTGAATCACTCTTGTTGATTTTTACATAAATGAAACTACATAAATAAGAGTAATTTGATTGACTCTGTGAAATGAAAGAATCCCAAATTCTGGGTAACTGGAATTTGGGTAAATATTCTCCTGTTCAGCTCTCACTGTTCATCTTCTGCTCCAGAATCACTGATTAGGCAGCTTTACACTTCACTACAGATGTCCCTTTCCTCAGTATTCTGGAATTAGCTGCACATCAGTGCAAGAAGTGATTTCAAATCCTGTCCTTGGGGACAGGGAGTTTGTCAAAGGCAAGCACTGAAGACGTCCCTGCCAGGGAAATCCTGCTGGTATTTCAGAGACCTTGATGCTCCTCCTCCACTGGCAATTTGCCTGCAAATGTCTTATTTGGAATTCCCATCATTATTTTGCTGCCAGTCTGCAGCAAAGACAAATGCTCCTGTCCACTGTCAGGTCAGAAGTGATATTTTTGGCATGATGGAGTTCCAAAGAGGAGCTCTGGCTCTGCCAGCTGTGCATGTCCAACACCATGGGACTGATTCCTGCTTTTTTTGCCAGGCATCAAGTCACAAGGCTCGAGCCTGACTCCAGAAAAAGCCCAGAATGCTCAGTCATGAGCAGCAGGACATGCAATGAAATCCTCACGTGCCCTGAGAGTGATCTCAGCCCTCACAACCACTCTGGAAAAAGTTTCAGTGGCAACTTGCAGCAATCCCATGGCAAAAGCAAACCCTGCTGCTGCCTTGCTGACATCACAGCTCCTCCTGACACTGGGAAATGTGGGCAGGAGACAAATCTGTCTGAAATTGAGCTCAAGAGCTTTATTGAAATCCTCCAGCTCTGAGATTTCTGGACAGCTGGGTCATGCCAGCCCTGCACAGACACTGATTTCTCAGCCAAGAGAGAAGCAAGGTTTGCACAAGATGTAATTTTCTCTCCCTCATGAATTTTCACTGTTAAACCACCCCATGTGAAACCAGACTAATGAACTTGGTGTTTGTTTTCAATATACAAAACAAGCCAGGCCCAGGTAAAAACTCCCTTAAATGTCCTGTCTATGCAGCTTGAGCTTGGCCTGGGACACCTGAGAAAATCTATTAAAATCTATTTTTTTTTCTCTCTGAATGTGGATAATGCAACAGGCACACACACACACACAAAGCCAAAACAAACAAAGTCTCTTATTTCAATAAAAATCCTTGATGCCCCTCCAAGTAACCCTGTGCAGGACCCTCCCCACAGCCCTGAGCAGCAGGAAGAGCCAGGACATACCTTGTTTCAGCTTTTTGGTTATTGTCACTTGACATTTGATGCACTTCTTCATCCTCCTGGAGCATTCTGCCACAGTGACACAAGGAGAGATGACAATGAAACCCACAACAGACTCGAGAACATCAGATTTGAGCAACCTGAGGCCTCCCTGGGTGATTAAGGGATTGTTCTGCACAGAATGAGGTCACTACCTGCTTTCTGAGCTGGGCCCTGGTGTCTTGTTTAATCTTTCCCAGGTCAGCAGCAAACACAACACCTTTAAATCCTCCCTGCTCTGTGTCCCTGCAGCTGCTGCATGAATCTCTGGCACAGAGCTCTGACCAAACTCCCTGGGGTCACACTGTGCCTTGTGAGATGAACTTGCTGACAAGTCTGAGCAGGCTGCCCTTAAATCAGCTGAAACCCTGAAGAATGAAGAGTTATGAAAGCCAGAGGAGAGGGAAATCCTTCTCAGGAGGTTTCTGGGGGATAAAGCACTGACAGCCAGAAGTGCCTTTCCCTCTGAATTACCCAGGCATCTCTAAGCCCAAGCAAAGCTGCCTGCAGTCCCAAGCAGCAGGTGGGCAGAACATTCTGTGTTTTTCAGAGATAACTTTGGCTGTCTGAGATGCTGAAATCATGCTGGGGTTGCTTCAGGACACAAACAGCACAAAAGCTCAGTGTCTAAGCAGGGCTGGATTTCTGACAGGGCAAAGAGGGAGGCTTGGGTAGGGGAACAGAGAAGAAAAAACATGTAAAAAAAAAAAAAGGGGGAAAAAAAAATCAGTGTGGACTCACCTTCACACACAATACTGTGCTGGCATGGGAAGAAATGGATGAGCAAGGCCAGCTCTGAGCAGACCAGGCACTCTGTGGGCACTGCCACGCTGGAGACACTGAGGTTGGTCATGGTGTTGGGCGTGGTGTGCACACGGCGAAGGCTGCAGGTGATGGTTGAGCTCTCAGAAGAAATCTGCTGTTCCCTGCAAGCAGGAGCCAGCAGGAAATGTGAGCCACGAGCTCCTGCAGCAGTGGTAACACTGAATTATCCCCGGGATAATTCATATCCACAGGGAGACACAGCAGCACAGGATCAGGGAGATAAACCTGAGAACCTTCCCTGCCCTGCTGGGACAAGCTCAGCTGGATCCTGAGCAGTTCTGTCCAAAAAGAAAGGACAAGAGCAGGGATCTCCAATATTTACACAAGTTGGAACTGCTCCTTTGGAGGTAACAGTAAGCTAACAGCACAATCATCTGCTGAAAGCAATAATGAGAAATGTCAGCCTGACAGAAATTACATTTTTAAGGAAAAAATCCCTCATTCCAACACACACTGCCCTGCCAGAACTCCTGTGCAAGATCTTCAAGGGACACTTCTCACCTGTTACCTGCAGTGGCCAATGGCAGAACTGCTGGCTGGTTCCTCCCTCAGATCAGACAGAACTCTGCTTTCATGTTTGCAAAGCCCAAATGCAAACAAACGCTTCTCAGAGCCCGAGATAAAGCCAGTTTTGACTTGCTCTACTCTCCCCTTGGCGTTTTCTCAGCTATTTCTCTTATCAGCTTCAAAATAAGTGTTTATCTAGCCCTGGAATAAATGCTGTGGGTTTTGGTGCCCACTCTTCTGTTGCACCCTCTTTAAATATCTGTCAATGAGGAGTCAAATGAAAGTAAAACAGAACCCAGGATTACTCTGCAAAGCTGCTCTTGGCTTCAGTGGCCTCAGAGGCTCCTCAGATTGCCAAAAGGCCGAGTTTGCACAGAGCCTCATTAATCTGCTCTTCCCAAGCCTTCCAAAGTCAGCACACACCCTCCAGAACAAACAGGACGTGCTCAGGGTGACATCCAGAGGGTCTCAGAGATTTCCATCCCTCCTGAGACACCAGGGCTGGGGAAAACCCCGGTTTGCAAGGGTTTCCTGAGGCTCTTTACCTGAATTTCTGTGAGAAGTCTTTGACGATCTGGACAATCCTTCCATCTGTAATGAGGTCTAAAGGAGACTTTCCTCGATGATTTGCATAATTAATATCTGCTCCTTCTTGTGCTAAGTAGCAGGCAATGGCAGTCCCAACATTCAGCTCCACATTTCCCAGGAAGCCAGAAGCCTGCAGCTAAAAGAGATTGAGAAACACACTCTGTCAACAGAAGCAGCTTCTGCTCCTCTGCTCTGATTTGCATCAAAATCTCAATAAAATCTTGAACCTTCTACTTAAAACTTGGAAGTGCAACTTTTTGAAAGCACACAAAGAGTCTTTTTGCCTTTAAGTAAATAACGGGGTCAAATCTTACATTCCAGGGCCAAGAATGCCTCAAACTGATCCTACCTGGTGATAATCTCTATAAATTAGAGAAATGAGCATTCAGTTCTCCAGGGAGTGAAAAGGAAGAAGCTGAAGGCCCCACAGAGCAGCTGCTGCAGGGGCCCTAAGTGACAGCTATTTAAAGATCTAAATTCTGATGTGCATGATTCCAAATAATTTGAAGTCAAGTCACATATTCCACTGACTTAAACAACCAGAGCATGTCAGTCAGGGCAAGTAAAATTAGATGTGAAGGAATCTACAGCATTTAGAGATGATGTTACTGTAAATAATATTGGGAATGACATGCACAGATCCCTCTTTAGGACTTCCAGGACTTTGGCCCTGCCAAATCCATCTTCTCCTGGTGGTTTGGGAAGGAGCAGGGTGGAAGAGCAGTGCACTGGGCTTTTCCAAGCACCAACAGCTAAAAAGGAGGAATGGATGGTTACACTTATTCTGCTAATTTCAAATGAAATACTAATAATTTTCTAAATCTATGCTAGATTTTCCAGTGAATTAAGTTATCCCTGCACCTTTGGCCTATCCTGCAGTGATTTTTAGATCTTTATATCCATGGATAGAGAGCAGCACAGAGAAATCCAGTTCAGGCTTTGTAACAGCTTCTCCCTTCTCCTTCAGGCTGCTCCATCTCCCCTCTCCCCCTGCTGTACATCTGCAGATAACTGGGGTGTCTGTGGTCAGCTCTCCTCATATTTTCCATGCCATCAGACAGAAATGAATTGCTGTGGTTCTGGGGCATGAATTAAACCCAGGAGTCTCTTGGCTCTGGATTCATGACCTTTCCCATGTCAGGAAAGAAGTGCACAATGCTCATAAAAATATCAGAGACAGCTCAGAATTGTTGTCTGACTATGTCAAGCTTCATGCTATAAATTCAGGATCTATTCCTGCTTTCCCACAAGTCAGGCTGGTTTTCATGCTCCCCATCTGGACTGGATGAAGGAACTGAAGGGGAACTCAGAGCTCCCCTGCCTTCCTTCACCCCCTTAGACCCCACAAGCAGCTGATGTTGTAACCCAGAGCATTTTCCTGTTGGAATTCTCACCTTGGAGAGGAGAGCCGCTCCCATCTCCCCCTCCTGCTTCTCCATGGCCTTTCTTCATCCCCTTACAACATCAGCTGCTTGTGGGGTCCAACACAGAGCATTTTCCTGTTGGAAATCTCACCTTGGAAAGGAAGGTTGCTCCCATCTGCCCCTCCTGTTTCTCCACGGCCTTCCCTCACCCCCTTAGACCCCACAAGCAGCTGATGTTGTAACCCAGAGCATTTTCCTGCTGGAATTCTCACCTTGGAGAGGAGAGCCGCTCCCATCTCCCCCTCCCGTTTCTCCATGGCCAGGGCCATGAGCTGCTGGCGCTCCAGGGCGATGTGCATGGCTGTGTCCCCATCCTCATCCTCAGCATTGACATCACTGCCGTGGCTCACCAGCAGCTGCACCATGCCCACGTGGCCCTGGATCACAGCCAGGTGCAGAGGGCTCTGGTTCCGGTTGTTTTTCACGTTGACGTCGCAGCGACCCTGGAAAAGCAGGAATTGCATCACAGGAGGTGTGGCTGCTGGGCTCGGCTGCAGAACTGAGAGTGTGGGGCCTGGGAGCTCCCAAATCCCACTTTATCTTCACTGAGCATTCCAGTTCCAACTCGTTTTGTTCTTAGCTGATGCTTTGGGTTTTAGATTTTGTATTTTTCAGAATTTCTGCTGCTTAGTCTGTAACTCTAAAACTTCATATTAGGTGTTAGTAAATTCTCTTCACAGGGTAGTTAAACACAACAATCCCTCCCCAGCCAGAGAATCGAGGACACCCAGTTCTCAAAAAGCAGAAACAATGGCAAGGGAAAGGGGCAAGGCAAGAGGCTGAGACTTCATAACCTGGGGCTGTGGATGTACAATTGACCCCAATATGTACATGAACCAAAACTTATAAAAGTGTGAAAACTCATGACTGGGATCCATCTTGGATTTGACTTGGGAGTAGCCCCAGCCAGGCTCTTGCACTGCCCAAGGTGGATCCTTTCAATAAATCTCTATTTTATTCCTTTTGCTCTGTCTAGTCTCTGTTCCAGGTCAAGACATCCTTCAGGAAAATCCCCCAGGAATGCCAATCCCCGTTTTTTCAGCCTGGCAAACAATGCCAGCTCTTCAAAGGGACAGGGACATCCCCGTGGGTCCCAGTGTTAACTCAGGAGTGGCTGGAAAATTGTGGGGCTTGGGATTTTCTGGATCTTACCTCTTTGATGAGGATTTCAGCCACTTCCATGTGGTTGTTGAGAGCAGCAAGGTGCAGGGCAGTGAATCCATCTTCCTTTTTGGAATCCACCAGCTGCCGTGCCCTGGCCAGAATCTTCTTTATGGCTCTGCAGAGTTGGACAGGTTTAATAATGAATAATTCTTCTTAATGGAAGAATTCATTTCTGCCTCTCCTGCTCAGGAGTTATCAATGTCCATGTTTCACCAGGTGGTGCTGACACCAGCAATGAAGAGCATTCCCTTAAATCCACAAAATTAATTACAAGAATACAACAAAAGCCCTCAGTTATCATTTAATAAAGTAGGGAAAAGTCACATTGCTTTGAAAATAACGAGCAGATTTATCTTTGGAACAGCTCCAGAGGTTCCTAGTCTTTACTAAGACCTTCTGCTGTCCTTCCATGTGTGAACCCAAACATCTGACACTGTCCAGAAACAGAGAAATTTCCTAGGTGAGAAAGATGGGATGGGGCAAGCAGGCAGAAATTTCCTGTGAAGGCCTGAAGGAGGTCAACAGCTCTATCCAGCCATACCCAAATCCAAAAAAAGTTTAACCAACGACCCAGAACCACACTTGCCACCTTCTTAGACAAGCAGCACAAATTAACACCTGAAAAAGGCATAAAAATGGAAAAAAAAAAAAAAAAGAAAGGACACTTACAGCTTGTTGCCTTTCAGGGCAGAATAGTGGAGCAGGTTGAAGCCTTGACAGTTCTGGACAGTGAAATCTATGTTGGGAACTTCAGTGAGAATCTCAATCACGACTTTGTAGTCCAGAGTGATAGCATAATGCAGGGGGGTGTCTCCCTGGGAATCCTACACATGGAGACCCAAGCAAACACAGGTTACCAACCCCAGAAACTCCAAGGAAACCCCTGTGAGCTGCTGAAACTCCTGACCAGCTTTGAGGGACTGACCCAGCACAGAACAGCCCCAGCAGCACACAAGCAAACCATAAAAATGGGCTGGGTCCAAGTCACCATCACTGCCTGCATTATAAATCTTTAAAATCCTGTTGCTGGGAACAGGAACACACAGGAACAGCAGCTGAGCTCTCCCTGGAAGCCTGAGTCCAGCAGAAAATGCTGATGTGATGAAGGAGAGGCAGACTCAAACCTGGAATTTCAGGGTACTGAAATTCAGAAATATTTCCCAGTGCATTTTCAGAGGACAACTTTTGAATTCTACAAAGCCACAAACGGTGTGAGACATAAAGAAGCACCTCCCCACCTCAGAAAAAAAAAAAAAAAAAAACGAAAAAAAACCCCAAAAAATCCTCTACAAATCCCAAATCCCTGCAGTCCCAAACTTACTGGGAGGTTGACATCACAGTTGAGCTCACAGAGGGCCCTCACCACCTCTGTGAAGCCCTGGCTGACAGCAATGGACAGGGCTGTGCACTTGGCATTGTTCAGCAGGTCTGCACTGGCTCCTTTAGCCAGCAGCACACGGGCAACTTCAGCTTGGTTTCTGGTTTAAAGCAAAGCCAAAAGCAGTTTAGAGTCAATCCAGTGCTCACAGTAAATTTTTTCTCTTTGCAAAGCAACAGAAATCAGGTTTTGTATCCTCTCAGCCACACCCCGCTTCTTCTCAGTGGTAAAAAAACTCCACAAAAGCTTCCTGATCTGTGCTCTCTGCTCTAAATCAACAACAATTCCCACTCTTAATGATGAATTCTTCCCTGGTTACTGATGATACAATTCAAAATCTCATCTTGCTCTGGAAAACACACAAACTTAGAGAAACCAACCAAACACAATGATCTCAATCCACTTCATCACCTCCCTCATCCCCTTGAAAAAAAATTCATCACTAAAACCTCCTTATCATTGTTTTTTTCTGATTCTCTCTGAAAATTCCTAGCATGGAAACTGAACTAGCTGTGAAGAATAAGAAATCCTTGTGCTAAGAAATTCTGTGCTAGATAGAAATCCTTCTGGAAAGAAGGATGCTGCTGTAGAAGAAATGCTCAGTGTGGGCTGAAGCTCAAAAGCCACATAAAAACAACATAAAAACCAGAGAGAAACTTCCACCATCCACAGAATGCTTCACACAGAGTGTCCATTTGGATCCAGGACAGGAGTTTTCCATCAGGGATGGCAGGAGGGGAGGTGTCCTGATGCATGGCTGGAGCTGCACTCACTTTGCCACTAAAGCCCTGAGCCAAGGGTGGGTCACACCCCAGGAAAGGATAACCTGAGGTGTGGCCACAGCAATTTCTCTGTGGCCTTTTTGGCTGTCAGCCTGTGCTCTGAGGAGGAGGGGGAGGTCTTCTGGATAAAAGAGGATTTTATTACTCCAGGGAAATTGGGGTCAAAAGACAGAGAATGAGAGTGTGCAACAGCTGAAATATGGGAGGGGTTCAGGGGGGAGGGTACAAATCATCAGAAAATTGGAGAAATTCTGGGGAGGGGTAAAGGCAGGGTAAAAGGAAGCTCAGAACTTCTTAATATCTTGCTAGATTTACTTTTCTGCAACTTAGGGAGTTATTCTAGCCAAGCTTTAATACACAGAGCATTGTTCTATTTGCCCTTGCTTTCTACATCTCATACAACTTTTCTGCTGACAAATCTTATGGCTACTGCTTAGCTCTAATTGCAGTTGTGCTGTCTCTGTGGCCTGCTTTTTTGCAGCTTTCCCAAAACCCTCTGATTTTAAGGATTCCCACAAAAACATCGTCCAATGAGGGAGGTAGAGGGGGAAAATTGGGTCACGTGGATTAATGAGACATCCAATTTTAGGGACTAAATTCCAAAGGGGAATTCCAAGCAGAGGGTTGGCACAAGGTAGGGAAGTCAGGATAGATTGACAAGGTGGGTGGGAGGGTTAATAATTTGGACCAAACCATTAATTTGGGCAATAAAAGAACAGAAAAACAGAGTCCTACCCAAAGGCTGCATAGTGCAGAGCCGTGTCCCCCTCGTCATCCCTCAGGTCAATGCTGGCATGAGCCTGCAGCAGAGTCTTCACCACCTCCACGTGCCCCTGGTAAGAGGCAATCTGCAGGGCAGTCCTGCCCTGGTTCTTGGCATCCACCTTTGGGAAGGGCAGAGACACAGAAATTCAGGGATGAGCCCAGAGCAGGGTGGGAAGAGCCCAGCAATGCCACAGGGTGACCTTGTCCCAGCACATTTTGGAAGGGGACAGCACTTTTAGACAAGAGGGGAGAAGTGAGAGAACAGAGCTGGGAGCTCTGAAATTGCAGAGCCCTGCTGCCAAATCACTCAGTGCCTTCGAGCACAACACTCCTTAATAGCTCTGCCAACAATTCCCTTCCCCAGAGGAAAATGTGTGAGGAAATCAAATTAGTTTTGCATAAGGCTCTGGAGGTGCCAAGTCCCTGCTGTGCTGTGCTGCTGCAGGTACTTCAGTGGGTGCAGTGGCTGCAGGGAACATCTCAGGGCTCAAATGCTGCAGTGAGGGTTTTGGAGAATTAAAAGGAACTGAAGAACAAGAGGTAAAAAAAAAAAAAAAGGCAAAGCACTTGAAACCAGTGGGAGGAGAAGGAGAGGAGAAGGAGGCACAAAACCTCAGCAGACTGGCAAGGAGAACAAGTTAATAAGCAAGGTTTTTCTTTTTCCTTGCAGCTGATTTTATGTCAGAGCACAGGAGAGGCAACACTTCCCTGGACAGGCTCAGAGTCATGGGCCAGTCCTTTGGGCAAAGAGGAATTGGAGGTCACTGCTGTTCTTCCATTTACATGAGGCAGACAGTGCTGAAAAACTGGAAAAACCCTGCCAAGCAACTCCAACTTGCTCTAAGTGAGCCTCAAATCCAGCCTGATCTCTCTAGAAGACTCTTAACAGAAATAGCTAATTTATTAATATAAATACTAGAGTAGAAATAGAAGTCTAATAAAAATAACTGATCATAGAATGGATTCCTTACTCTTGGGACTTTCCTATCTGGGATCAATTCTGAGAATTGCAGGCATTTGTGTGTCCTTCCCAGAAGCCCCATCAAGCTTATAAATAAAGAAATATAATAAATACCAGACAAATAAGCATTAAATCAGCTTCACAGGGGTTCCTCCAGAGCTGATCCTAGGTCACAGTCCCAAAAAAAAAACCTCTGTTTGTTACCCATGGTTTCCAAGGACACACTACTGAAAGATTTTGGTGGTTCTTTTTTTTTTTTTTTTTTTTTTCCCCTGTTCCTAAAGGCTGAGCCCCTCCCTGAAGGAGGTTTCAGGAGATGTGATCCTGACACTTTGGCAGTTTCTGCAAGCACAGAAATTGTCCAGCAACGAGTCCAGCCCAGTTCCCTGCTCCAGTCAGACATGAGATAAGACACTGCACAGATCTGGGCAGCTTTTTCTCCCTCCTGATTCCAAAAATGTGATTTTACAAGGTCCTCTAAGGACAGGCACAGGCAGACACAGCCCCTTGCCTTTCTTTTCCAGCACATCCTCTGATATCTGCTCTGTTTTCCTATAGATAAATCCCTTTCCCCCTCATTCTACAGCTGCAGTGGCCACACAGGAAATCTGGGAAAAGCCAGATTTTAGTTCAAATTTATTTAGAAACTAGAGGTATAAAACATGCACATTTAACTTGTGAATTTAATCCTAATTTGCAGCAAAATAATATTCCAACTGTTAGGAGCTATCACTAAGCCTGACAAATCTATTGTTTTTCTCTCATATCCTTTTCCTGTCAATTTGATGGCAGTAATTTAAAGAGCAGAAAGGAAAAAAAAAATCATTTTTTGTCTTCCAAACTTGCCTTGTCTGGGTATTTCTGGAGGAGCTCCCTGACTTTGGCTGCATTGTTGAGGGCTGCACAAATGACCAGGCACCCTGCATGCTCTGACTCTGTCCTCTGGGACAGCAGCTTCTCCAGGACAGTCACCAAAGTACCTGAAAAAAAGAGATAAAAATGGACCTGTCACCACACATCCCTCACTGTTTGAGGGGACAGAGGTGTCACAGCTCCTCAGCAGTGCAAAGTCAAAAATTTTGCAAGTTCTGCCTCAAGTCTGACTTGAGCAAACAGTTCCAGATCCATCCACATCAGGAAAACAAAAAAAAAAAAAAAAAAAAAAAAATCCTGGCAAGTCTGTGCTCCCTCCCACATGATCCTGACACCCAGAGGAAATAAAATTTCTGAGCAGATGTGCAAAGCACCAAAAAAAAAAAAAATCCCCCTCCATGCACCACGTGATCCCAAAACTCGATTTCAGGGCAGATTTAGGCAGAACCATTGTTGATTTCACAACAGTTCCACGCACAGACCTGGGAATATTTCACAAGGCCTCAAGAATCAATGTCCTTGTACAGGAAACAGGATGGAACACTGAGACACAACAAGGATGAGGCAAATCCTGAACCTAGGGCAGAGCTGCACTTAACAATTCTGAGTTTTAAATTCTGTTATTTTCTGTTTTAAATTTCTGTTATTTTCTGCCCTATTTTCAAGGGCAGCTTTGATTGCCCAGTAAGGCACAGCTGGGTTTTATTTTTTTCTATTTCCCCATTAATCCCAGCATTTTCCAGTCCTAAATTCTGCATTTCTCCATCAAGCCCTGCACTTCCCAGTCCTAAATTCTGTATTTTCCTCTCAAGAGCAGTTTTGCCTTACCCAGTAAGGCACAGCTGGTTTATTCTCTACTTTCTTGTTAATCCCAGCATTTCCAAGCCCTAAACTCCCATGAGTCACAAATTCTGTATTTTCCTGTTAATCCCATCATTTCCCAATCCTAAAATCTGCATTTTCCCATTCATCCCAACATTCCCAAGCACTAAATCCTGCATTTTCCTGTTAATAATTCCCAGCATTTCTCAAGCCCTAAATCCTGCATTTTCCTGTTAATCCCAGCATTCCCAACCCATAAATCCTGCATTTTCCTGTTAATAATTCCCAGCATTTCCCAATCCTAATTTCTGCATTTTCCCATTCATCCCAGCATTCCCAAGAAAGAAATCCTGCATTTTCCTGTTAATCCCAGCATTTCCCAACCCATAAATCCTGCATTTTCCTAAAGCCCAGCTTTGTTTGCCCAGTAAAGCACAGCCAGACTTTGGTTCTCCATGCAGAGGAAGAACATCTGGATTTTGGCACCATGCAAAGATCTGGATCCAGGAGCTCCCAGCCCTTGGGGGAGCAGGTTTGTCCCTCACTTTTGGGTTCCTTGGCACTCTCTGTGGTCATCAGGTTGGCCTCCTCCTCCCTCTGGTAGGCTGTCAGGCAGGCAGGGTTGAAGGTCCAGGACTGTCCCCCCACTGACACCCGCAGATCTCCATCCCCATAGACCTTGATCACCTTCCCAATGTGCCCCAGGGTCTGCAAGGAAAGAAAAAAAAAAAAAAGAGGAATTTTTTTTTCCCCTCTCCAAAGCTGCAGTTCCCAGACCCAAAGCCAGGTGGGTTTTTTTGGTTTTTTTATTTTTTTTCTCATAAAGCTGCAGCTCCTGCTGTGTGAAAAGAAGCACTGGACAAGTGACACACTTGCAGACAGCTCCCACTTCAAGGACAGAGGGTTCTCCCCAGTTTCTTACTGGTTTTGCCATGGAAGGGTTTTCCCAGACACACTGGAAATGGCTGGGGAGGGAGATGCTCATAAGAAATAATCAAGCTGGGACTGGGGACAGTTTCCTCTGAGCTTTAACTGCTCCTGGAGGAACCTGCATCCCACTTTTTAGCCATACTGGGCTGATTTTTCCACTTCTCTGCCTCATCCCAGAGAATGAGGGAGGGCAGAAGAGGATTTTGGTGATGGAAACCAAATCCTTTTTGTCACATTCCCCCTTTGTCCCATTTGGGTGCTGTGGTCACCAAGAGCCACCAGCACCAAGGGCTGGGGCAGGGACTTCCCAGCAGGAATTGTGGGGGGACACAAGCCCAGTGTTGAGTGCTGAGGGCTTTGGGGGGGAGCTCAGGAGGTTACTGGGCTGTCCTGGAACTGGAACTGGTGTGCACTCACAGGTGCCATCTCATCTGTCCACTCCCCATGACCAGGTTGGAACCGCTTCACTGTTTCCATATCATCTATCACCCGGACCACATCACCAACCCAAAAGGTGTTGAGCTACAAGAAAAAGAAAGTCATAAGCTTTTTGGGGAATGAAGCCACAAACACAAACAGAGACAAAAAAATTAATAGTGATCAGCTCACCTCCAACCCCACTCCCAAAATCCCAACAAACAGGACACCCACTGAGTCAAAAAAACAGAACTGCAAAACATAAATGTAACTACCAAGAAAGCTGTAAGCACTGAGCTGCAAAATAAACACCAATTCTCTTTTATACCAAGTGCACATTTAAGCAGGGAAATAATTCAGAACAGGCAGTTTCCTAACTTCTTTTGCTCCAAATCATTTATAATTAATACCAGATGAACATGGAAGTTTTTTTGGTCCATCTCTTCACTACACCTGGCTTGGTACAGAAGATTTTAATTCACTCTAATAAGGAAGTTAAATCTGTTTGTTATTTAAAACAGAAAAGGGAATGCAGGGTTTGTCTGTGCTGGTAATTTGCCAGATGCTCCCTCTGCTCACTGAGCTAGGAAGGCAGCAGTGTCAAAACACAATTTTTAGAGCAGACTAATTTTGTGCAAAACAATCTGACACTGCATTTTCCACTGGTATTGGGGAGATTTAAGCATTGTGACCTTGTTGAGAATTTTGTGGTCTTCCAGCAGCTTCTTCTATACCTAATTATCTCTATTCCTAATTACCCACTTCTCAAAGTCCTCAAACCTCAGGGGAAGGCCAGAGCTGTGAGCTTTAGAAATGCAGCCACAAAATTAGAAGAGCTGGATTAAAGACTCAGAAAAAAATCAGAGAGAAGAGAGACAAAGATACAAAAAAGAACAACACGGAGACACAAAACAAGGAAGAACAAAACAAAAAATAAAACCAACAAATCAACAAAATAAACAAATCAAAGGGAAATTATGTGAGGAACAAAAAGTTCATCACAAGGGCAAGGCAGCTGCAGAAGGATGAGAGACTGGAAGCTGAAATTAAGAAATGGAGTTTACCTGAAGGACTTAAGTTGATAAAACAGGAGAAATTGTGTTTGGAGGAGCTGGGTGTTCCTTCAGTGCCCTAACCCAGCAGTTTTCCAGCATTTCCCTGCAGAATTCCCAGCACTTACCTTGGTCAGGGCTCCGGGGTGGAAAGTCCAGCGGGTGTCGCTGTTGAATTGGACCCTCACGTCCCCCCTGTCCGTGATCCTGTGCACGGTCCCTGTCTGCCCAATGAACTTGGGAAAATTAAAAAAAAAAAAGAAAAAAAAAATCAAAATCGAGAAGGGAAAGACCCTAAATGAATCGTGTTGTTTAATAGTGGGGAAAGAAGGTGTCCAAGGTGATTAAATCACCCAGTAATTCCCACCCACGGTGCTCCTAAATTTTTATTCTGTGTTTTCCTACTAAACTCAGAACTCCCCAGTCCTAAATTCTGAATTTTCTGTTAATCTCAACATTTCCAAATCTTAAATTCCTCTGAGTCATAAATTTATTTTCCTCTTAATCCCATCATTTCCCAATTCTAAATTCTGCATTTTCCTGTTAATCCCAGCATTTCCAAGTCCTAAATTCTGCATTTTCCCATTAAGCCCTGCACTTCCCAGGCCTAAATCCTGTATTTTTCTGTCAAGGGCAGCTTTGCTTGCCCAGTAAGGCACAGCTGGGTTTTATTTTGTATTTCCCTACTAAACTCAGCATTTCCCAGTCCTAAATTCTGCATTTGCCTGTTAATCCCAGCATTTCCCAGTCCTAAATTCTGAATTTCCTTTTATTCCCAGCATTTCCCAGTCCTAAATTCTGAATTTCCTTTTATTCCCAGCGTTTCCAAGTCCTACATTCTGAATTTCCTGTTAATCTCAACATTTCCAAATCTTAAATTCCTGTGAGCCATAAATTTATTTTCCTATTAATCCCATCATTTCTCAATTCTAAATTCTGCACTTTACCATTAATCCCAGCATTTCCAAGTCCTAAATTCTGTATTTTCCTGTCAAGGCCTAGCTTTGCTTGCCCAGTAAGGCACAGCTGGGTTTTATTCTCTATTTTCTTGTTAATCCCAGCATTTCCAAGTCCTAAACTCCCATGAGTCATAAATTCTATATTTTCCTGTTAATCCCATCATTTCCCAATTCTAAATTCTTCATTTTCCCTTTAATCCCAGCATTTCCAATGTTTGTATGAGATGTAAACATTGTTTTTCTACCAAAAGGAGGGGAAAGGGTCCTCTAAAAGAGCAGCACACTGGGGGAGGAGGAGGACAGGAATAAAAAGTGCAGAAATGTTTGAAAATGCAGCACAAATTGTCCTCTTTCCAAATGACTGAGGTGGGCAGGGAATCCAAAGCTGTTCTACATTATAAAATATCAGCAAAGCACAATCTGAGAGGGGAAAAAGGAGCAAGGTACACAAAACAAAATATAATTGTGTGGTACAGGGTTCTAGATCTGCTGTTCTAAGTTGTTCATGGTTTATAAAGAGGTAAAAAAATGTCAATTTCTGAGGTGACAGGAGGTTCCTGTTTCTCTGTTTAATATCCCTCTTCATTCCCCAACAACAGGAATTCAGGAGCACAGAGTTTTAACAACCAACAACAGACACAGCAACACCCAAAATCTCCAGCTTTGGGGGTGTATTCCTGAGCTGGAATAAAAAAAAAACTCAGGGCAGCTTTGTTAAAGCTCATCAGAAGATGCCAAGTCCCTGCTTGCCAGGCTGAAAAAAAAACAAAAAAAAAAAAAACAAAAAAAGAGGCTGATGCTTAGTTAAGAGATTTCCACACTGAAACTGAAATGACAGAATTTGCCTTGACATTTTAAAGCCTGATTTCAAAAACTCTGTTGACCTATAGGGGAGGTTGGGCTTGGTAGTTTTGTAGCATTTATTCATGCTGTTTACAGTAATAGGTGCCATTTCTATCTTTATTTCCTCTGCTCTCTGGGGTTTTTTAAAATAACAGGTGATAGCAGACTGATGGCTTTTCAATTTTAAGGTAAGGCTAAGCTCCAAAAATATGATATGGGCTGAGAAATTTTAGCCCTGGCCAAGGACACAGCCCAGTGTTGACAAAACAAATAACTTTAATTATCAGTAATTCACAGCACAAAAGAAGCCAAACAAGGAATGGATCCAGAAAACCAAAGTAAAGATCTCATTTAAAAACAAACAAACCAGTTTTTTTGTTTGTTTGTTTTTTGGGGGTTTTTTTGTTGGTTTTTTTTTTTTGCTTCCAAGACTTTTGCAGGGATCCACAAGGCCATTCTCCACCAGCAGAGCCTAAAAATAACTCTGACTCCAGCGTCCTATCACTAAAAAAAAAAAAAAAAAAAAAAAAAAAAAATCTTATATTTGTGATTCAGTTCGACATTAGGGTCACACAGAGATGTTCTGGTAAATTCCTGAGTGCTGCAGAATGAGGGAGAGGCTGGAATTGCACCCAGGGAGAATGCAGGGACATACCTCAGCCATTTTGGGATTCCAGCCTCCGTGACCCTCCTGCATCTCCCTCAGGATGTCGATGTCCAGCAGGCATTTCACCTTGTCCCCGTGCTGGAAGGGATGTCTGTCTGTGCTCTCCTTCCTCTGCAGCTCAGCTGGTTTCCCTGGGGACAACAAGGACAGCACCCACGGGCATGCACAGGCTGCACTCACACATCACTGCCTTCCTTACAAAGCTTGAAAATCAACATTAATTGAGGCAGGATGGTGCAAACCTCTTTTCATACCCTATAAACTCTATAGGGCAGCAGAGAAATGAGTAGGGTTTAACTCTAAAATATTAATAAAACATAAGCAGCTCTAAAAAGCCACATTTTATCCCAGTGCAGAGCAGGGAATGCCTCTCAGGCCATGGCAGACACCAGGAGCTGTTCTTAGCAATCCACTCACCCACCACTGCTGTTCAGACATGCCCACACAGCACCCAAAATTAGTTGTGCTCTCCACAGGCAGGCACAGAATTCACTCTGAGGAGTTCCTTACCCTCCCACCCTTCCCATGCAGCCATACCCCTGGAATTAAACTCCTCACCCAACCCTTCCCTCCCCTCCATGCTCTTGCCAAGCTGCTCAGGAAGAGAAAAATCTGAGAAAGACTGAGAAAAGTTTGCCTGAAAAGTTTGATCTGATAAAAGCCCTGATTCTGCTGCTGCAAACCTCTTTGTTTTCCTTCAAAGGAGCCAAAGATTGTCCCTGCACCTCATTAAATAAAAAAAACAACCCCACAACTAAATTACAGCTGGGTAAAAAAAAAAGCTTCAAGTCCAAAAGCACAAGGAGTTTCCATGGATTTAAGAGGAAAGGGGGATTGCAGTGAGTTGCCAGTACAGGTATCACCTTTTCCCATCACTTTTTCTAATTTTTGGCTGTCCCACTCTCCAAAGTCTCCCTTTGCTCACATTCCTCCTCTGAATACACTTTTGGCTCCACCAGGAGAGTGTTTGCTCTCTAAGAGCACAGTGAACAACAGCTTGCCTGAAGAATGGAAAGCTTTGGATTGACAAATGTAACAAAAGTGAGAAAAGTTGGATTTTCTGTAACAGAATGGGAATTTCTTGCATTTCCAGCAGAAGTTGTATTCCTTGGGATACAGCTGTGGGTATCTGATGGTTTTACCACTGAAAGGCCAAACTATTTCATGAACCACTCTGAGATCAAGCAGTATGTTCACACACAAACCAAATCCTCTCAAATGATGCTCATTATGTGGGAACTTTAGAAAATCACAAGGTGGTTTTGTTTCTTCCAAACAAAAAATGGCTCCAGCACCAACGACCTCGCCAATCACAACTACCCAACAAAGACTTTACTCAGCAAAGATTTACCTCCACCCACCTAATTTTGGGAGGTGCTCCTTGTAGTAGAAGCCTCCAGAAGCTTCCACAGTACATTTGAGGTCCACTTTTCCCTTGTGGCCCACCCTGTAGACGTTGGTGGTTCCATCTGCCCAGGTGACGCTGGCGACGCTGCGCCCGGTCTCCACGTCCCAGCCCCGGATATCCACAACACGGCCAGTCTTACCCTCACCCCCTGAGGGCAAAAAAAAAAGGGAAAAATCAGTAAAATTGGATCAGTTAAGAGGGAATCTCTGTGTTAAATTTGCTGAAATTCAATGAGCCATTGGTGAGAATTCCTGGTGTGCAGGAGCGTGGCCTCGTTAGGGAACACACACGTGGTGTCATGGCACCACACTGTGGTAACAAAATAAACTCAGCAGTGCTGCAAAACCCACTCAGGATCTTTAAATGTCTCCCCAACACCATCCATGTGGGAGAACATCAAATAAACTTTGTTTTCTTCGAGCAAGGAGCAACTGGAAGAATGCAGGATGTGTGCAGGTGACCCTGGCTGGGCACTGGGACGTGCTCTGATCCAAGGGACAACATTGAGCCTTGGGAAGGGTTTGCAGATTCCCAACCCTGCAGTCACTCTGCACTTCCCCAAATGGGGACAGCAGCATCTGTCTCACTGAGGAACTTCTGATTGTCTGCAAAATCCTGCAATCAAACAGCTTGAAGGAGCTGAATTCCTCGTTTATGAGCACATCTAAAAAGCACAAGACAAACACTGGGTTTTGGTGGCTGTTCTACTCATGACAGACAAGATGTGGATGGGGGGCAGCTCCACCAAAAGCTGAGAGCAGCTGAGGGGTGGATTTAGGGCTCCTCTCACTGCTCCTGCTCAGGGAGCTGCTTTCAGGTCAGCACCTCCGTAAGCAACACGAGTCTCAGACATGTAAATGCTGCTCTGATCTCAAAAGGATGGATAAGCTGTATTGAGCATAAGCTGCTTTTGCTCTCAGACCCTGCAAGGATCCACATCCTGCACTGAACCCAGAGCTGCAATAAATGGCAGAGTCAACTTTGGAAACCTTTGAACTTTTGACTTAATTCTTCAGGAGCTAAAGGAGCTGTAAACATCACAGTGTGTGTGTGTGCAGGGCTCTGGGATAAACAGGCAGGAAAGCTCCCTTAGCCCTGGAGCATCACACAGAAATTGCTGTCAGTGAGCTGGGACAGCCATTACACCCCAAAAACAGCTTTAAAAAGGTATTTTTGTCTCATTGCATTTCAGCCTGAAGGTTTCAATTTCTACAGAAAGCAGGAACCACAGAGTCCATCATTACTGAACCATGTGAAACCCTCCTTAGAGAGAATTTCTCCTCATTGTTCTTAAAAGTATCCAAATAAGAACATTCCACAGAACTCCAAAAGAAAATGGATATTGTACACAAAGTCAGATAAACTTTCCACTGTCAATTAAAGCTTTTCCAAGAAGAGAGGAGTCTTTATTTTCTTGTAACATGGTGTATTTACAATTTTACATAAAAACTTCCAACATGGTTCCCAATGGTTTTCACATCTATGAAAGAGGAGCAACAAAACTTCCTCCCCACACCCTGGACATGGTTTATGTCCCAGATATGTGACAAACAACAAATACAAGAGAAAAATGGAAATTAATTGCCCTAAAAGACAGGCACCTGCATCACCTGAACAACTCCCCTAGAAAGCTGCTGCTCAGCACGTGGATTTTCAACCAGCAACTTGCAAAAATAAAAGAATATTACATTATATATATATATATTAAAAAAAAAATCAAATGGTGTTCTACAGGACATCCCAAAAGCAGCTTACCATCCTGGTTACCCCACTCCCAGTCAGGCCCACGGACCACTTTAGCCCCCTGGAAAGTCCCTTTTAATGTGATGCGAGTCAGATTCTGTCGAGGGCTCACTAGGACCCTGGAAAAACAAAAATCAGAGGAAATAAATGAATTTGTTGTTGTTGTACACACTGACAAAGCTGTTCTCCAGCTGATGGTCACATAAAGACCATCCTTCACTTTTAATGGGCATTATTGGGGTGGCCCTGCATGGAGGCATTAATGGAGCTCAGCACATTCTGTACCCAGAAAATCAGAGCAGCAGTGCTGGGGCTGGAGCATCCCCAGGCTGTCCCAGACCTCCCCAGCTGCCCTGCACCCCACAGCCCCAGCCCAGGGGAAAGGGAAAAGGTACCTACGTGATAGTGAACAGGGGGTCTGACGTCCTGTTAAAGCAGCTCCCAATTCCCATAATGTCACAGCAGCCTCTCTGCTGGCTCTGTGGGTGCTGTCCCCAGGCTGCCACAAAACCTTCTCATGAGTTAACCAAGCCACCAAAAATCCTGGCTGCTCAGCCAGGGTACAATCCCCTTTTCTAGGTGACAGCAAAAGTGCCCCAATCCATGTCCCTGGAGCCAGACGGGCTCTTGGCAATTCCCAGCCCAGACAGAGCAACCCAAGTTCAGCAGCTGCTCCACAGGGCAAGGGGAGGGGAAACTTGCTGGGGGTAGGGCTGACCTCAGAGCACTGCATTTATTTTCCATCTAATACCTCCAGGGGGAAGGTGAAGACTCAGGAGGATAAAAAGCTTATGCTTGAATTTACTGTTTACTTATCCAGCAAATGCTTAAGTCTTTTACTTTTCTTAACCTGTTACCAGATCTCCCACCTGTGGTTTACAACCTCGAGTGTTTCAAAAGAGGGAGAGATTATTTATGCCTTGCTCTTATAATCACTGATTGTTCATTAATTAGCCAGGTTGGAGCTCAACAGGAGGAAGATGAAGGCTCTGTATTTGAAGGGTTGAGATTTTTTTTTGCTGGTTTAAGCACCATTAAGGCTGGATATTGTTATGAAAGAAGATAATGACAGTGGAGGGGAAAGCTCAGCTATAAAGAGGCACTGCTCAGCATTCTTTTTATTGCACTGTGTCAGACTGGCTTCAAAAACCAGCATGGATTTGGGTACAGCCCCTGAAACAGCTTAGATGTTTTCACTGCATTTTGTTCAATGGTTTTCTAATAATTTATCAAGCAGATCCGAGCCAAACCCTGAGACAAAAGTGATAAAAATGTAATTCTCTCTTCCAAACCCTTCTCTCACAAGGGATTGGATTCAATGCAAAGATTCTTAGTGATAGTAAAACAAAGCACCGAGCTGAGCTTAAGATATTTAAATAGCAAAATATCTACCACTCATTCTATTCTTAGCAGAAGTTCCCTTTTTGGATTATCATGTAAGAGTAGTCATTCCCCAGCTCAACACTCTCACATTAACCTGCCACTTCCTCTGAAAATTGTGGATGGGGACAAAAAAAAAAAACAAAAAACAAAGCTGATCAATTTAGAAAGCTGAGATTCCTTAAAGAAAGAAAATGTAAGAAACTCCATCTCCTGTCCTGCTGAAATGGGCCCTCCTTCCCCAGCCCCACCAAAATCCTGCCTTAAACCAAAGAGGGATGCAAGCACCACATCTCCCCAGCCAAGGATTCTTACCAAGGTTTTCACCTCATTCAATGTTTTGCTCCAAATACAGGACAAACAACCAAAGTCACCCAGTGTGATGCAAAAATCCCCCTGGGATAAATTTAACCACTGGGATACTGCCTTTAATAACAATGTTAATTATGACAGCACAAGGCTGCAGCCATTTCTGCCCTACAGATTCCAAGGATATTAAATGACTGCAGAGCCCAGGAAGCTCCCCCTGCCTTGGGAGCAGGGATTGTACAGAATGAAGTTCTGGCTCTCTCCAGCATGCTGGGAGCCACTCCTTGGGCTTGTGATAATTGCTAAAAGATTCGTGTTAATCACAAAAACATCGGGGTTTGTATAAACCAGAATACTCAGCTCTGAAGTGAAGCATGGACACCAGATAATGGAAATTAAATGATAAAATAATTCTGTTTAAAATCACCTTGTTATGGTATATTATGTTATTTGATGTTATTTTATATTATGTTGTGTTTTCCAAATAAGTTGTGTGGGCTCCCAGCTTGCAAACTCAGCCTTCCCAACAGCCCTTCCTGCCTTTGTGTGATCAATGCTGCTCATCTCAAGGAGCAGACTCCCAGAACTGCTCTGCTGGGTCTCTACAAGGATGTTCATTCAACCACCACTGCTTAGGACAACAAAAAACCCCAAAATTATTGATGACAATAAAAACCCCAGTGTGAGAAGAGGCTGCAAACCGAGGTTGGGTGGAGCGTGGAGTGGGCGCTGACCCCTCACGTTCCCCAGCGCTGCCTGCTCTGTCTGCAGCAAATAAAACAATCTCAGTTCTGCTCAATATCGATATTTGTCTCTCGTTTATAACACGGATGTTCTGCCTGTACTCAAGTTTCTCTGAGGTGTTTATTTGGATTTTGACATCCCTGAGAACTCTGCTGCAGCATCTGGAACAGCAGCATCACCCCTGCTTTAAAGAGAGGGATGGGAGATCCAAATCGACTGATCTGGAGAAATTTAAACAAAAATTACTTTTCATTTGCAGCAGCAAGCCAAGGCTCCTTCACACCAGGCATGGCTGATGTGTTTTGTGAGATTGTTCTGCTGCAGAAAGTTTTTATCTGAAGAAATAAACACAATGAAGGGGACTGGGAAGCAGAAGGGATGGTCACCCTGTAAGGTGGCAGGCCATAAATATGACATTAATCCCTTGAGAAAGGCACAGCTCTAAACCAGATTTTCAACTCGTGGGACACACAAACCCACATCCCTGCCAGGACACACAAAGATCCACCTCCACAAAAGCCAACACGAAAATCTTGCAGGAACTACAGGCAAAAGTGACCTCAATGCAAGAAATTCCAGGTTTTCTAATCCCCCCAGCAAAGCTTTTCCTGAAGCTCTTCCAGCAAAGGATAAAGGAAGGCAGTTCTGACAGATGGCTGCTGGCTGCTCAAACAGGAACCAGACTAAGACAAGGACACTGGGAGAGGGATCAGGATCACACAAACCTATTTCAGGAACTGTCTTCACCCAGATTTTTTTTTCTTTTTCAATCCTCTCCTTCCTTGACAAGGCCCAGTTCTTGACAAAATCAGCTGTATCTTTATGTCACATCTTTATAAGTAAAAGCTGTGGTTTTTTTTTGGTAACCCCCCAAAGTAACTTGGATCAAATCTTGTTCTGGAAAGCCACAGCAGGGAAGGTTTCAGAGCAAGGTTAATAAATGGGCACTGAAAAGGTTCCTGCAGACAGTTTTGCACAACTGTGCTCTCAGAGATGTTCATCCAGAGCATTTAAAGGCAGAATATTGCACTGAGAAGATGCAGAAACAGCACTGAGCACACAGAGTGAAAATGTTCATTGTTAGTTCAAAACCCAGGCTACAGCTGGTTCAGTGAAGGTTTCTCTTGCTTGCAGTTTTGATCATGTAATTCCAGAAAAGAGAAACATAAAATATGTCATTGAAACACAATCCCTGTTCTAGAAATCAATCAGAATAATCCAATTTATACAAGGGAAGCCCCAGTATGACAACAAACCTTGGTGTTCACATTTGGGCTTTTTTAAAGAGGCACAGGCAATTTATCTGGCAAATCATGGTGGGTTTTTTTTTTCCTAAAGTAAAATTCATTAACAAATTAAAAAAAATAATAAATTCATATCAAGAAATTCATTTGACTCCAAATATTCCTCACCCAAATTTCTTAGCTCCAATTGCCACTGCATAAATATCACCTGTTGAGGAGGTTACCATGTAAATAAACCTGCAGCCTTTTCTTGCCCAGGAATCAAAACACCCAGCACTTGTCACTCAGTGCTGGATTAGTTCAGCTCTCAGCAGAAGCAGCCACAGATGGGAGGTTGGATTATTAAACTGCCTTGAATGGGTCTGCATTGCACAGACCTAAATCAGAGCACACATTTGTTCCTGGATCTGATTTCCAAATCCAGCTGGTAACTCCACCAGACAGAGCTGGTTTAGGAATTACAGATGAAAATAACTGCAATTTCTGTTTTGACTACAGGATAAAACACAATGGGAGAAAATATTTGTATTTCTTGTGCTTGATTACACAAAATATTTCCCTGTGCAGCTCGCTGGCTCCTCCAGCTCCATTGTTTGCCAGGAAAAAAAAAAACAACAAAAAAAACCAGGGCTTGTGAAAAACTACTGAGGTTGTGATTTATTGGTGAGAGAAGGCTGGAAAATAGCCTGAGTAAAATGCACCACATCTGAAATTCAACTCAGCCCCAGCCCTGAGCAGGTGATTCAAGCAAAATGTTGAGAATATAACAACATCAGTATTTTGTATGAGATTATCTCAGGTTTGATTATTTGCAGAATTCACCAGAGTGTGCCTGATTTTCCCAGCCCTAATATAAACTTGATGAGCTTTGCTTTGCTGCCCTGCTCACAGACACTGATTTATTTTCCAATTACCAAGCACATATTCAGCAAATGGATACAACTCTGAAAAAAGCTCTTCAGTGAAACTGAGCTGCTCCATCCTTTTAAGCCAAGGATGAGAGCCCCTCCCACAACAGCCATAAAATTCAAACTAAACAAGACCAATAAAAAATAACAAATTAGGAGGTCAGGAAGAGATTACCTCAAATAGAAAAAGTAAAAAAAAAAAATAAATAAATAAAAAAATCAGCACCTCAAGTTGAAACTCAGGTCATTTGAAGAGCTGAAATAGCTTTCAGGTAAAGGTGTCTTCAAAGCCTCTTTAGAAAACTGATTGGGAACCCTCTGCAGTGCCTGTCTGGGGTTAAATCCTCCTAAATCCTGGGATTAGTGACCTGCTACAAACAGGCATGTGTTGGCCTTGCCTGGTTCAGGTGGCCAGGGGGTGGCTCTGGCAGCAGCAGCAGCAGGAATTTGTGAAAAACCAAAGGATCCCTGCCAGAGAAAGGAGGTGGGAGAAATCCTGGTCTCTAAAGGAGACTCAACAACAAACAGTAATTTTTAAATACTCTGGTTTTCTCTTTTTGTCCTTAGGGAAACTGCCAAAGGTTTTATCTTCTACTTTATTTAGAAGGAAGGAAAAAAAAAAAAAAAAAAAAAGGAGAAAAAAGCAAAAGAGAGATGAGTGATCTAAGCAATAGTCCCAGTGAGTCATAAGCAGGCAATTTCTGTTCTTGAAAAAGATGCTGCAGTGCCTAAGGGAAAGTGGCTCCAGAGCTCTCTTATTGCACAGAAATCCTCTCCATGGCATTGTCCAAAGGTGATCTGTGCCCTTTGTTTCACACAGGACATTCCCATCCTTAATGCAGAGCATTCTCCTGGACCAATAAATTACATTTGCATGAAAACAAAGATGCTCCTACTGCCTCCTGCCCCTGCACTGCAAAGCATTTCTGAGTAAAAGGGATTTAATTTGCCAGCTCCCTGTGAAAGCTGCAGAAAACACACATTTATTGTAATTATTGTGCCACCCTTAGTCCAATCCTGAAACCAAACCCATTCCTGACAACCTGTTGGCTCCAAAAGCTCAGTGACTTCCAAGAACCACAACGTGAACCTTTCATTCAGCTTTAAACTGCAGCTTTCCACAACAGGGAGCTTCATCCTGGAAAATTTCTAATTTTTCTCTATCCCAAAACTCAGCTGGAATCAACACCTGCCACGCAGGACCAGCAGGAGAAATGTTCCATGATCCAATTAAACTGCTGGTTTATGCTTGCCCCTTATTGAGGATCCCAGAAATCACTGCCACACCTGGCAGGCTCATGCTGTCTCTACTTTTCTTTTTTTTAATTCCTTTTTTTATCAGTTGTTTGTTATTCTCACTAACACACAGCAGTGTAAATCAGAATAGTGCTGATTTTATAAAGATTTTGCTATCAGGCACTCTGGCCTACGTCTAGAGTTGTTTTTGTTAAATAAAGTGAATTTAGATCACATTTTCTCTAACCACTCAACCAGCCACATTCACAGAAAACAAAAAAAATAATTTAATAAGATGAAAGAATTTAGGGAAAAAAAAACAAACCCAACCCAATCAACAAACCACCAAAGCACCATCAGACATCACATCCTGCTCCAGCTCCCCAGAGCTCCCCAGTGCTTCCAGGACACTGCAGAGTGGTGCTGCAGCTTCTGGGAAAGCCAAACCATTCACCCAGGACAGCTCTGGCCCTGCCAGGGCTCCTGGATCCTCTCCAAGCTCCTTTTTTCACCCTGACAGCAAGAACTGAACTTCACAACTCCAGCAGAGCCTGACACGGGCACAGACAAGCCTTGGAAGGGAAAATTGCTCTATTTACATTTTCCACCATTCAGATTCCTCAGGATAAAAAAAAAAAAAAAAAGGAATGAGTTCTGTAGAGGATGAGTCCTGGGGAGAAATTACCTAGAAATCTGCTTTTTGATCCAGGTGCTCCTGGGGAAGGTCAGGCACCTGCTGCCCAAAGGATTTCCCACCTGCAGGGTTGGGAAATCCTCAGCACAGGGCAGAAAATTGGGGCTGCTGTGCAGCAGTGCCTTTTTTATTTTGAATTTAAATGTGAGTAAAATGATGTACCTTAAAGCTCAAATAAAAAGACACAAGCAGGCATCTCTGAGTAACTAATTGGAGATAATTAATAGAAGAGAAAGAAACTCCTCATGTGCCTTTTTTTATAGAGAAGTGTATTTTTATATACACACCAAATTGTGAAGCTCATTTCACACTAGGATCTGGCTGGCTTCTCATATTAACACAAGCTCCAGAAACACCTTAATGTGGTGGAGAAACACAAATTTCAGAGCTCAGAGGGGACATTCTCTGGCCAGCAACATCCCTGCTGTGCCAGCACTCACAATTGTGCCTCAACCAAAGGCTGGCACCAACTCTGGCAGGAATCAGCTCCAGGCAGAGCTTCCCACATGGCAGGAAAAGCAGCTGCAAATCCCACACCACTGCCTTGAGCACTGTAATTACACTTTTCATTCCACAGATGGATGCAAAGCACAGGGATATTTTCAAAAGCAGGCAAAAAAAAAAAAAATAAAGGAAAAAAAAAAAGAAAATCAATGACAGAGATAAGCTGATTTCTTATTCCTTCTCCTGAAGGCAAGAGGATTACATGATTCATCTTCATGCCCACTTTAAGAGATGCAAATAAAAGTACTGGTGAGACTATTTTTGAGTTCTTCCTCAGGACAGGAGAACAGATTTTCCATGTTTTGGCAAATCATAAAGGAGCATAAAATTACAGATGCTGTTCCACAGGCATCAGTGCAGCAGTCACCTCCAAAAAAAAAAAAAATTTAAAGTGCAGAGCAGGAGTAAGTGAGAAAGTGCTGCTCTTCACAGACCCCAAGAATAAATCAACAATTTGGGAGTGCAAGATCCCTGTCAGCCCCTCTGTGCCTGAGAACAGCAAATAGCAAAGCATTTCTGAGATATTATTTAATTGGGGGGGGGGGGCTGAGGAAGAGAAAAACCAGAGCAGAAACCATTCTTTTGTCACTTTGTAAAAACTCCCTGCAGATTTCTGTTTGCTGCCTTTTTTTTCTTTTTTTTTTTGAAGCAGCTTCATAAAACCTAACCAAGCTTGACATTATTCTATAGAACAAACCTTTGAAAACCCCAACCAGCAAAACTTGAGAGCTGCCTGCTATACTGACATGAAATTCTTTCTAAATTATTCAAACATGCACAAATTAGGTTCTACTGGGTTATTCTGCACACCCTGGGGTGCACAGAGCAGGTTTTGGAGAGCCCCAGGATGGAACTGATCCCCAGAAATTGGAATTATTGTACAGAACAAACCTTTTTGGTCATGCAACCCAATCAGCAAATCTTGAGAGCTGCCTGAT